CCAGATTTGGACTCTATGTGAAAAAATCTTAAGGATGATGCCCACTTTTGGCTGTTTTGATGTGATTTACAATGGCCACCAGTGAGGCTCACCAAGGAAGACGACCAGAGCTAGGACTCTGACGTCTGAGGTGTAAGTTGAGGTGTGTAGCTGACAAGCGTGCATGGCATGTTAACCTATGATGTGGAACGCGACGTCGTTTAATGAAATGGTGTGTTTCATGGAGGTTTGTTTCTTCAAGTTTTTTTGGTCATGGGTTGGGTACATTTTGATACCTACACCCCCTTCTTTTTGGACCAAGCGTGTTGTAAACTGAAAATCCATGTTATGTTTGTTTTTGCTAGTTCACCCCCTCTCCCATTTTATCTTTATTTTATTTTATTTTCTCTTCATTTTTTATTTGCATTTTATTTTAATTGTTAAAACCTTTTGAAAAATATTTAAAAATATATTTCTGGTCCTTTGACCTCTTAGGTTAATTTTTATAGTTTTTATTTTATTTTTAATTAATTTTTCTATTTTATTTTTAATTGTTGGTGAAGAGTATTTAACATTTTAACTTTGGATTAGGGTTAGTGTTGTTCATGACTTTTGTGTGCTTTCTCCAGGCTTGCTTTCCACCATCTTTTAACACATAAGTGATTAATGTTTGGGTGTTTGCTTGATGTTTTAATGATGCATTTTGGATTGTTTTTTATGTGGTATTTGTGACCCTCGATTCTTGCTTGACTAGTGGACTTGCTTGCCTAATTGATTTGATTTGAGGAAGCATCCATGTTATTCTTTTGAGGACCTCTTCCTCACTTATTCTTGAATACTTTGTATTTATCTTGAGCTTTTAATTGGAATTTATTTGATCATTTTTCTATTTTTGGATGATGAATCAAATTGATGTTGTTTTGACCATGATAGTGTGCATGTTTTGACCTAGTTTCTTGAGGATGATTCTTGAATGATTCAATTGATGCTTAATGACTCTTGTGTTAACTTGTTTAAGTTTATGACCTTCATGTTTAGAGGTTCATTGCATGATCACTTTGTCTCATTTACTTCACATGATCATTTGTTTCTCTTATGGATAGCTTGAGGGATGTTTCCCTAGTCTTTTGTGCATGAACTTGAGCTTGGTTGATGTTTTGGATTTGAATATGATGTGTATCATTTGAACATGCTTCTGAACTTGATGGTATGGTGTGTATTACTTGGTCAAATTCCACTTTGTGCATTGCTTGAATACTTTTTTTCATCATGGTGTATGCTTGCCTAATTTTGATACATGCTTTGAACTTGAATCTTGGTGTCTCTTCTTTCTATTCATGAGTTAGTGTTTGGATAGATATTCTTGTTCGTGCTATAGACCATCTTGTGTTCTTGACCTAATCTCATTATTTGGACCATGTTTGGCTTGTATGTTTTGAGTTAATTGTTGAAGAGTGCTTAGCCATTGATGTAGTTCATGTTTGATCCTCTTTGTGTTATTTCTTTGCTCTTTGAATTGAGTTGAACATGATATGATGTGCTACTTCCCTATCTTGTTTCTCACCTCATTTAACTTCATCTCTCTTTGTTTGATAATTGATATTGCTTCTTGTTTGACCTTAAGTCATTTTTGTGTGTGTGGGCACTTTGTTTTGCCAATTGGTTTTGATCTCAAATATTTGAGTGTGGTTTAGCATGTATGCATTTTGGGTTACCTTAACATATTGTTGATTTTTACCTTGTGTGATTGAGATCAATGTTTGCTTTCTTAATTCCTTTTGAGTTTCAACTCCCATGGTTGTATACTTGGTGTTACATTTCTCATCTTTCATCCTTCTCATTCTTTTCTTTAGACTTGTTTAAATCTAGATGTTATTTTCATTTGTGATTGACTAGTATGGTGTTTACTTGTTCTTGTTCATATGATCCCTTAGGATTCCTAGTCCCACTAAATTTCAGATTAAGTTGGGAGTAGGAGAGACATTAGGCTTTCAATTCTTTGCATGATAACAATTAGGATAGTTCCTATTTGACCTCAACTTTAGGTCCATTATTTGTATGACAACATTAGGTAGAATTCCCTTTTATCCCAATCTTAGGACCATTGTGCATGACAACATTAGGATCCAGTTTCCCTTAGTGTTTTCTTTTCACCCTTTGAGTCCTTTCTCTTCTCATCTCAAAAGAATTCTAATACACTTAATAAAGATGATGGACATTGTTTGCCACGAACCTTATGCATATAGAAAATGATGAGTAGGAGTTTCTCCTTACTTGTCTAGAGTGTTTAGTGTACATCCTGTCTGGGGCGATATGTGACGCATTCATTCCTATATCATTGTCTTTAGTGCAACGTGAATCTCAAATCCAGTTAATTCACTTCACTAAAACTCACACACCAACTTCAAACCTTTTCATCTTTCGAGATTGTCTTTCAAACTCATTTTCAGAAAAAAGTACGCTACTTTTTTCGTTCTACCGCAAACAGGTATCGAACTAAACTGCTAGAATGAGAGTTTAATGCCGCAAAAAAAACACACACGTAACTAACCTGTGGTTTAGTTTCCCGAACTACATTTTCTCTAATTTCTCATACCAGATAAGGATACGTAGGCACAAGACAACGATGTCTTGGCGAGCAACCTTCCCCCCATCACCCGTAGTTTCTCGAACTACATTGACTCTGACTTTCCTATTGCACGAGGGAATACGTAGGAACAGGGCGGAGATATCCTATCGAGTCTCCTTTTTTATTTTCCCTTTCCTGTTAGATAACTCACCCATTTATTAGACAACAAGCGTGGAGTACAACGGATGCGGGGGGGGGGGGGGGGGTGCTAATACCTTCCTCTCTCATAACCGACTCCCGAAACCAAGTTTTGGTTGCGATGACCTTGTCTTCTCCTTTCTTTTATGTTTCCTTTTATCGTTTCATTTCCCTCCGTTGGGATAAATAACGTTCGGTGGCGACTTTTCTATTTGTTTCCGCTGGTTGTGTTTTTTTTCACCGGTGCGACAGTGATACCATTTGAATTTCTCAACTAATTTTATGGGCGCCAAGAACTAGCTATCCTCGTCAAGGCCATCGACGTCGACCAAGTCAAGTTAGTTTGGTCCATCAGATTGTCCATTATAGGGATGAAGTCCACATGTAGCAGTCAATTCAACATTGTTTCCATTATAGTGATAGACTCCACGTCTGGTATATGAGTCAATATTACTTCTACTATAGTAAGGAACTCCAACCTTAGCCAACATAGAATAATATACAATTTCATTAAGTCCCTTAAATTTTTCACTACATCCCTCGACCATGCCACTTTTAGACCGATATTATCCTATGTGAATTTCGATCTTGATTCATATTGATAATGTGGATTCACTCTCTTTTGATCTTCCACGTGGAATATCTATGGCTAGTCTCATGAGTACTTGACATTTTTAGACAATTCGAAAAATCCAGTGTAACGGCTGGGTAGGTAGTTACCATCCTTTGCTTTGTGTTTTCTGCAACTGGACATGTATTCCTTCTTCTATATTGCTCTCTCTAGAGTTTTTATGTGTTTTTCGTTTCAAGATTGTTGGGATACTTGGTCTATTTGACTTTTGTGTTTTTTTGTCTAGAGGATTTGTTGTTTTTCTTTTCGTGTTATTTTTCGTCTTTATTGTACTATTAAAAATAGTTGATTGCATAAGAAAATTAAGGAAAAATTAACACTGTTGGCCGACATGCTTTGTTGGAATGAAATTTTACTATAAAAAATATGAAATTTTTCCACAATAAATAATAATTTATTTTTAATAGAAGAAGGGTGACATATACATGATAATAGTTCGAATTCATATACGATTTGTTTTTGTTATTGAAATCAGCCTTAAATCTCTAAATGGTTTGATAGCATAGCTTAGGTAAAAACCTACATTTGATTGAGATAAGTCTGTATTAAAGGTTAGTGTCCATAACCTTCAAAAGCTCAAATTATAGAGAAACTCTCTAGAAGACTTCTTAGAGACAGGACTAGGATAATGTTCGACCAAACCTTTATAAAATCTCTAGTGCAATCTTTCTAATCTTATCATTTTAATTTTATGCAATTTACTTTCATTATTTAACTTTCTGCTACAATTACTCAAAAAAAATACTAAGACGATCTTAAACGAGAACAAGTCAAACCCCCTCTTGTGCTTAAAATTACTTCCCAATAATAATATCTTTTAGCGGAAACTTATTTTTTCCAAAAAAAAAAAGAAACCATTTCAGTAAACACCAAAGAGAAACAAAAGAACAGAGGGGAAAAGAAAAAAAAAGGATCTTTACCAATTCATTGGAATCACAACCATTATCTCCACCACATTGCTCAAACCACCATTGTCATCATTATTCTGTCGTCGGAACCATACGGCCGCCGCAAGCACCACCACACGCAAAAGACCTTTAAACCTCTCGTCTCCGCCGCACACCACCAAAACCACAATCGTTATTGCAACCTCACTCTTTCCACCATCGATCTATAGCATTTGGTTGAATAAAAAGGAAACTTGTCATCACCAATTGACTTTTTTTTCTTCTGGAGAATTTGTTGTTTTGCTTTACGTGGTATTTGTCTTCTTGAGCTTTTGATAGTTTTGTTTTTCTTTGAGCACTTTTAGTGCTCTTTGCTTTCTCTGTAATTTTTGTTAATTTTTATAGTAGTATATTTTTACGATCTTGGATGAAATTTGACTATGAATGATATAATATTTTTCATAATAAATAATAATTTAATTTTAATAAAAGAAGGGTGACATATACCTGACAATAGTTCTAATACATATGTCGATTTATTTCTTCCCAAAAGACTAAACTACTAATGATCAACATCCTCTTCATTACAGGGATGGTTTGTCTAACACTCTTAAAATTTAAAAAATTAAAAAGTACAAAAATTTGATCAATCATCTTGATCTTCATATGAAGGGGGTCCATCGGATTTGGATTTTGATGGAGGTGGTCTATTGGATTTGGATTGGGATGGAGGTGGTCAGTTGGGTTTAGCTTGAGATGGAGGTGAACCATAAGCTTCACATGTAGGAGCATTTCCTGTAACTATAGGTTTGACATTAGAACATACAGCTCTTGCCGGTTGTCCGTTAAATTTGAGATCAATATTATTCAACTCCACACCATTGCACGGTACACCACGACTGCATATAAGAACCACTCCCTCTTGTGCTCTTGCAGTTCCTTGAATGTTCTTGAATAAAACCTTGCTTATCTGTATTTTTGATGGATTCTACACCATAAAAGAAATGAAAAAAATATTAGTGATTTTTGAAACAAACATGTGTTAAGATTAAGAAATAAAGATGATTACATTTTTGTTGCACTGGTTCCATGGACAATACTCTTGGTCAATGATGATAGGGTTCAAGACATTATTCATGATAATATCTTCAAAATGCATATCAGTAATAGTTATTTGTCCAGGTCCAGATGGCCAAGTCTTAATCCTCACACCATTATCAGTATTTGTCAAAGTACAATTCTTAACAGTAAAACCTTCAACGTTATCTTCATTTGTAAACCTTCCAAGGCTTCCAACACTAATACCGTGACCAGGTCCACATTTCACATTTTGTACAAGTACTTTTCTGCTACCATCACCAATTGACACACAATCATCTCCGGTAGCAATGTCGGTATTAAGAATTTTAACATCAGTTGATTTTCCCATGTGGACTCCATCGGTGTTTGTACTATCACCAGGAGCACTAACTTTGATGCCATCAAGTGTGATATTTTCGCAGGCGAAAATCATAAAATGGAAATTTTTGCTGTCCTTAGATGTAATCCCAGTGATGATGGAGTTGTTAACAAAATAAAAACCAAAATTCTGTTGAAATTCAACCAATAAAATCAATTATAAAATGTTTATTAAACAATTCTGTTGAAATTCAACCAATAAACTCAATTAATATTTACCATGGAAACTTTGTTATCAGCTTTATGATTTTTGCTCCAAGCAGCTGTAGCTTTTTTCCAAGTATTTAAACCTTGACCATCAAAAATTCCTCCTCCTGATATGGTTAAATGATCCATAGTACTAAATCTGATCCATTGATCAATCCCTTTTTGAATTTGATTTACGTCTGAAGGTGCTTGAATTGTTCCATCAATTTGAATTTCAATTGGAGCCTTGCATGGACCTTCAGCATCTATTCCACTTGTTCTGTAATTACCAGATGGAATCACAATTTTAACCGCAATTGTTGAATTACATGCTTCAGCCCAAACCTTTTTGAAAGCCTTATGAAAGAAAAAAACACAGTCACTTAGAAAATATATAATTGTTTTCTCATTATCAATTCAATAATGATTAATACCTCGGTAATATCTGAATTTGGTGTACCACCATATTTTGATATTTCAAGATCCCCTATTACACCAAAGTCAGCTAGAAATATGAATGTAACAATTATGACAATACTGAACTTCTTCATGTCTTGTTTCATTATTGTTATACTTATGAATGTTTGATTTCAATATAAAGTAAAATGGAACATTATTTATACTTGAATGGAGAAGCTTCATTATCATCAACATGCTAACAAACTATTGTTTAAATATGGCTCTTTCCATTTTTAATTCTTTGGTTGTTTTTCTATGTCTATTAATAACAATCGTTTTGCATCACTTATGTTCAATAACCTCTCTTGACTATGCTTACTACTACTATGTACTCCTATCTCAATATAACACTATGGAAATGAAATAACATGGATATTAAAAAAAGTGTCTATTTGAAGATTACCATATTTAGAAGGAAACTTTGTTTATCTTTTCATTGCTATAGTAATCGATACTTAAACACAAAATATAAAATAATCAGGACTATTTTTCATTGATTACATCTGTTTTTACTGTTTGAATTACTTTCTTGAGTCTATTTGTTGTTAGGTGGGGAAAGTTTCTCTTTTGGGAGGTTGAGGAATTGTTTTTTGTTGTTTTGGGATTTTCTATTGTTTTTGGAAAGGTATCTAGAGCTAAGGTTTTTGATTGGTGCACTCGCTAAGATTTAGCAATCTTATACCTACATATTCCCGTAAAGAGATTTGGGAAAATCAGAGCATTCGTAGTTCCTCCTATTCTATGGGAGGAAAAATGTTTGGTGTCGTTTTTAAAGTCCAATATTGAAGTTAAAAGAGTATTTATGTCTTGTTCAAAACCCAAGATTGAAGCTAAAAGAGAAGTTTGTATCTTGTTCAAAGCCAAAGCTTGAAGCTAAATGAGTATTTGTCTCTTGTTCAAAGCCCAAGATTGAAGCTAAAAGAGTTTGAGAGAGAAATTGTCATCTCTAAAGGAAGATATCTCACCTATTCATCACAATTATTGAGAGTTAAAATGTCATGAAGGAAGAAGCTTTAACTTAGTGTAGAGCAATGCCACTTGTTCCTTTATGAATCCTTACATGCTAAGAGAGGGACATTGGCTTAGATATGTTCTAGAGACTTGCCACTTACATCACTTAGATGAAAGAGAAATTTGGCCATGATAAAGGAGGGACTCTAGCTTGGATTTTGAATCAACAAGTGTGCCACTTACATCAATTATCTGGAAAAGAATTTGATTGTTTATTTTGAAATGTGATGTATAGAGGAAATATCGTCATACAAAGGGGACTCAAAGTCTCATATGTGAGGATGTTGAATTTTATGCCTTGATCAAAGCCCAAGGTTGAAGCTAAAAAATATTGAAAACTGACTCAGTTGGGGTAGTATTATATCTATATTGTATAAAGCCCAAAATTGAGGCTGACTGGGAAAAATCCTTATATGAAGCCTAAGAGGAGGCTAAGGGAATTTACGTGGAGACTAACTCTTGCTGAGGAAAATTAAATCTAAGATTAGGATCCAACTTCTCTGAGGAATCAAAAGAGAAACTTACTCTTTCTGAAGATTAGAGGAGAGTTGGATCTATTAAATGCTATAAAGGCTTTGATTCTTTTGGGGATTTATTAATTGTAACCTGACCCTTGCTGGGGATTTTAAGGTGGAAGTCAAGGCTTGTTAAGGATCAGAGGAGACTCAAAGAATAGTTTGAATGTTTTAGAGGTTTGACTCTCCTGGGAATTGATGTAGGGATGACTAGGATCTATCATGTGCTTGTAAAAAGCTTGAGGGTCCTTTTATGAAGCCCATGAGGAGGCTGAGGATGCTTCTAGGAAGCCTGTGGGTCCTTGTACTAAGCCCAAGAGGAGGCTAGGGAATTTAGACTATCCAAGTCTTGAAGATTTCAAGAAAGGTTTCACTGGGAAATAATCCTTTCTTTGTTGAACTGTTCCAAGATTAGATGTGTTAAAGAAGAGGTTTCAACAAAAAGTAATACTCTCTTTATTGAAGTTTTTCAAGGTTGAATCAATTGAACAATGCCCAATAGGAGGCTGAATGTATTGGGAATAAGAATTCCTTTGTACAGGAGGGAACTAGTTGTTTGAACTAAGTTATACTGATTGACAAGGATCTTATGGTTTGAACCAGTCTGAACTAAGGATGATTCAACGACTGCTTTTTCTTCCTCGCGTCTCCCTCCATGGACGTATTTTTAAAACCTCACATATCTCCCTCAATAAGTAATGATTTTTCTCGGTGTAAACATGAAAGTTACTCGTTTTATAATAGAGAATGGAATGATACTGTTGCGGTGAGAATTAGATGTCAAGCTATTGATTAACTTGGATCTTAATTCATTAAATTCACAATTGGACTTTGATTTATCCAAAGAAAAGGTTAAAGAAAGAAATACCTTTTGCGCGATGTAAAAACAACGCTAAGAGATTCGGGGGTCGGGGGTTGGTTATGCTTAGGGTAGGTATTTCACATCCTAAACATCGGTATACAGGAACCTTTTGTATGTTTGTATGTTATACTACTTGCTATGGTTTGTTGGGGTTTTGAGGTAAAGACCTAGGGTTGATGTTTCTATGTTTTCTCGCAAATATATCACATCTTCTTCCTATGTATCCTAACTAGGATAGAATCATAGCAATTGTAGTTCACCTCACTAAGGGTGGATGAACACTTGATTATGATCAAGGTTCAAAGGGGAACAAACTTAAAAATGCTTGTATATATTTTAACAAAACTCTCTATTCTAAGTTGTGCACTCAAGGGGATTGAATTTTATAAAATCTATGAGGGGAGTAAGTAATCATGACAATGATCCTTACATAGAGCTGACAAACTCTAACCTAGGGTTCTAGTTGAAGAACACTCCTAGTTAAGGTGGGTCTTTTAGACTTAAGCAAAGTCTAATGGCTAGTAGGTTCTAACTTAACTGAGTTAGGGTTCAAGATGACATAACAAATTTAAATGGAGGGTAATGAGCTATCCATAACCCTGGGGTCAATGGAGAAGCTTTCCTTTCGAATAGGAGAAAGATGACGCAACTGGATGAGAACGAACAAGTTCCATCACTAGGGGAAGGCTTAACAAAGTAAAAGAAACACATAAGCATTCATTCAAACAAGATGAAGATAAGAAGATCATGGTAATAAACAAGAAAGATTAGGGTAATCATGTTACAACACATGAATAAATAGTAAAGATCAACATAAAGACATAGAGGTAACAACCATCAATGCAAGTCCAGAACATCATGAAAAAACCCTAAAAAACACATGCTATTAAAGTGGAACAATGTATTTCTAGGATAACAACCCATAAATTATTTCTTCACGCAATGAAAATAGACATTTTAAGGAGTATTTTTCAAAAAGAATGGCATCAATAGCATAAAAAATGAGAAAGTTATGATCATGGGAAGTTGGTGCACCAAGAGGGCAAAACTAGGTCAAGACAAGGTAAGGCAACTTAAGGTTATTTGCATGAAGAATTGGAACTCATTCAAAACTTAACCAAATGAGGTGAAAAAAAGTGAAAATTGTGTATTTTTGAACAAGGAATTCAATGATACCATTTTTTTCCCATACCATGAACCCATAAGAAAACTCGATAGCATCAATGGTAGGGAAAGTTTAGTGACAACCAAATGCAAGAACATGTGAACAACATTGTGTAGTGGTGTTCTTTGTGAAACAAGTGTACAATCATCACATATACATTATATATAGAGGTTGGCACAAGAGAAATCAAAAAATTCACAATTGGTTTGGCAGATTGGAATCAAAATGCAAAATGTGACTAGGTTGGGCCTAGTTTGTGACCTGAAAATTGTTAGTCCAAAAACAACATATTTTTCTGCAAGAAATGGTTCGTACATGACACATAACATACATAAAACATGCCTAAGCAATGTTCAACTCAAAACTATGGGTAGAACTCAAGGTGGCATGAGAAATGCAAGTGTTAGGCTTACCTCTTGTAGCATTATAATGCAAACTTGAGAAGTAAGAAAACTAAAGATCCTACAAGGTCTTTAATGGTTTGAAAATGCTCCAAGGATGATGAGTAGGTGCTCAAAGTAACCTCCAAGCAAGCTAGTGGACAGAATGCGTTGATAGTGAAGAAATCACCAAAAAAAACCAAAGATTTCCAAAGCAAACTTGCTCAAATCTTGTTATAGAAGATTGAATCACTTATGGATTGTTTGTATATGTTAAATGTGAGGTGTGAGTGGTATTGGAACTCAAGGAAGTGCATTGGTTTGATGGATGCCTTTCAAAATGTAGAAAACTCAACAAATGAGGTTTTCGAAGTTGACTTTTGGCTTCGATGGTTTTCTGGATAATGTGAGGTTTTGGACATCTCTAACACATCATTCTTGAAGTGTTTGGAGTGTTGTTTAAGTTGGAAAGTGTTTGGAAAAGGTTTTGGAAGGGAAAATGTAAGACAAATTTGGAAGTGGTTTGAAACTTGGTTCAAACTTGCAAGAACTTAGTGATTAAGCGTAGGAGAGGGTTCTAGATGGTTTCTAGAAATGAAATTGTGTTCTTGGGGTGTAAGAATAAGGTTTTATATATAGACAAAGGTCTTGAGAAAGAGGTATGGACAAAATGTTGCAAAATGCCAACTTTGGCCTTATCACTTTAAAATCTTTGTGCCAACCAATGCAAATATCCATTTCTAACCTCAAGAAAATCTACAAAGTGCTCCTCCATACCATATAGGTCATTTTCATAATGATTTAGTGGATAGGAGGTAACTGGTTGCAACATAGTTGGTGATTGAGTGAGGGCAGCCACCATTTTTCTCTTCCCTCACTATTCACTTTTGCAACTTGCATTAAACAATGGTTTTCCTCAATTCTTGTGCTAAATTCGTGGGAGCTGATGCTAAACACTGCCATTAGCAATGTGAAGATCAACAATGAGGCTTAAACCTTGATTAGAATTGATTTGAGAAGCTTTGGAACCAAGACATCCATGTTGAACTAGTTTTGCAGCAGTGAGTTTTTGTCAACTTGTGAGCTTTGGTTCTCCCTAACCATGAGAAGTTATGGAACCGAAATGTACTTTTTAGAAAGCCCTCATTAGGTACTACAATATTCATGTTTG